CTCCACGGGGGGGGTGTTCGGTGGTGCTCGGTGGGGGGGTTCAGCAGCGCTCCACGGGGGGGCTGGGGGGTGTTTGGCAGCGTGGCGCTCTGTGTGGGGGGGTGTTCGGCAGCGCTCAGCAGGGGGCTGGGGAGTGTTCGGCTGCGTGGCACTCTGCGGGGGGCTGGGGGGTTCGGTGGCACTCAGCGGGGTGGGGGTGTTTGCCAGCACTGGGTGGGGAGGGTTCGGCGGGGGTGTTTGGCGGGGGGGGGTTGTGGCGCTCCGCGGGGGGGGTGTTCGGCTGTGCGGTGCTCCGCGGGAGGCTGGCGGGTTTGGCGGGGGAGGTTCGGCGGCGCAGCGATCCGCAGGGGGCTGCGGGGGTTCGGTGGCGCGGTGCTGAGGGTGTGTGTTATGGCGGCGCTATGGAGGGCAGCACTCTTTTTTTTTGCTTGGGGCGGCAAAAATGTTAGAGCCGGCCCTGGCCATAGCAGGGCCAAAGATCTGGTTGGTATCTTATATATGAATACCTCCCTCACACCTCATTTTGGGGAAGTTCAGAACCAGCTGGAAACTTTGTCGCACAGGCACACATCAAGATAAGTAGATTAGAAAATCAACTAAAATGGCAATACAATTACGAAAACAGATTAAAGAGAAATAAAGGTAAGTTTAATTTGGAATGATCTGAAAATGTTCTCTAGTGTCTATCTCCTTATTTTAATAGAAAGCTCAGGATTCTCCTGTAACTTGCTGCACGCAGTTACAGTCAGGTGATAATGAATGACATTCATTCAGGTTTCTCTTCTTGAAGGAGTTTTTCAAATTATGGGCCTTGATTCTGGTCTCACTTATACCAGTTTTACAGCGTTGTATGATAATTCCATTGGATTGGAGTGGAATCACTCCTGATTTCAGATGGTGTAAGTGAGAGGAGAATCAAGCCAATGTCTTAAGTTAGCTGTAGCTAATTGCTATTTTTGTTCATTCAGATTTTAATAAAATTTATATGTCATGAAAAGAACAACTGTCCTTGACCTGGAGGTCCTTGTGCCATTAATTACTGCATCACAGTGAAGACTGTATAAATAATGTTGTGTAAATGTCAGCATCTTTCTTTCTTTCCTCTAGCGTGCCATATACTGGAATGCTGTGATGACCTGGCCCAAGATATTATCAGCACCATAGGGCAAGCATTTGAACTTCGATTTAAGCAATATTTACGGTGTCCCTCTAAGATACCTGCTCTCCATGATAGGTGAGTAACATTGCAGTAGAATCTTTTCTAGTTCCTCAGTTTCCTTCACCAGCTGGTAAAGTGAGGGGTGAATCTATGGCTGTGCTGTGGATGAAACTGTCTTAGAAGAACTGGATTTTAAACACACTTTAAAACAGATTCCTGATAAATGAGTGAAACATGGTTTGCCTGATCAATGTGGATGGGCCATAATCATTTTAAAATCACGTTTAAACATGGCCTCTAGGATCAGCTGTTTTAAAATTATAATGTCCTGCCCATACTGGCTAGTCAAACGCTTGTTAGAGATCGAGACAGGTGCACAAATTCAGAGGTGATGTGTGCTATAGGTGGTATATTGCACATCGCTAAGTGAGACTAAGGGAGCCTAAATTAGTATAATTTACATAGTGAGTGACCAGAACAAGTTGTAAATTACACCAGCTAAGAGTCATCTCTATATTTGGCCCCAGGTCAAAGCACTATTTTAAGCATGGTTTTTAAATGGCTATGCCCTGGCCTATATCCACACTGAAGGTCTTTAAGCCATGTTAGCCTAAATCTATTTAAAATTTGTTTTTAAATCCAGCTTTATACCCAGTGTGGATGGAGCCTTGAAGTAATGCAAGTGGAGGAACTTCCCTGGAAGGTTGGAATCTATCCTTCCTTGAATGGTCATGACAGATTTTGGTCTGCTTGTTTTAGAGATTTTTCTTTTTGCTGCAAGTCATAAAAATCATCATAACCCTTACTTAAAGTCAAAGAAACAGGCTTTCTAAAAACACATACATAGAGGTCAGAGTGCCCCCCCATGAAAGAAGTGCACATGGAAGGGCCGAGTGGGAGGAAACCCTATGTGTGATTGTTCTAAAAGGGGAACTGGATTACCAAATTAACCTATGGTTCAGCCTTCACACTGATTTTCACATCCCATTCCCCCACCTCAGTCTCTGTCGACAGTAACATTTTTAGAAACTTTCCCACCAATGCTAGCACCATATCAGCTCCATTGGTGTGAGCAACATCTTGGTTGGATGTATTCCTGAGGGTTTCATCACATGACATAATCTTTAATTAAAGATTAATCTTTAATTCCCGGAGACTCCAGGACAATCCTGGAGTTTTGGCAACCCTACGCATAGTGAGTGAAGAATGCTACCATTCTGATTTGGAAGAATTTTACCTTCCCTTTGCACTGGTGTAAATGACAGCTTGATGTGCAGTGAAACAGAGAATTGGGCCTGTTGAATTCACCAAAGTCATTCCTGATTCACAGCAGGGTTATTTAGATCAGAATCAGGCCCCAAGACATTATGAAGGATACTTTTTTTTATCATCAGCCAATCAATCACACAAATAATACTACCAATAACATGGTAAGGTATTGTAAAGAAGTTTTTAATGGTTGTCATTAATAGGGGTATATAGGACCTGATCCAAAGGTCTCTGAAGTCAGTGGAAGGCTCCCATCAACTTCAGTGGGCTTTGGATCAGCCTCATTACAGGGGTGGAGTGCTGCTTGGTTCATCCTATTTTGTACACGTCACTTAATTGTCAAAGGGCTGGGTAGTATATGGCCCATGTAGCTAGTACTATAGCGCTTCGAGTGCTGCAAGATGAGTAACATAATCCCTTTCTACAGGATGCAGAGTTTTGATGAACCTTGGATGGAGGAAAATGGAGAGCCAGCAGAACATCCCTATTACAACAGCATTCCTAATAAAATGCCCCCTACTGGTGGCTTTATTGATGCTAGATTCAAAACTAGGATCCCAAATGCCGCAGATACTGCTCAGGTCAGTGAAATGTTACCTGCTTAGTTTCTTAGTCAATCAAAAATTTGAAAGCAGCATTTTATTTCCAGATCAATGCACTGACAATGTTAAATATCTTGGAACTTTTCATATATGGCTGAATTGTTCTGTGGCATTTTATTTATTGCTGCTTCATATTCATTCATGGACTTGAATAAGAAATGAAACATGGCTCTGTATTGTTTATTATTGAATTCTGGCTCACCCTGCAATGGGTGTGCTGGGGGAGAAGAGCCTGAAGATGTCCTCTTACCCATTACACCTGCTCAGTAGACAGGCAAAATCATAGCCTTCCAGATCACAGAATGCTAGGTAGGAGTGGTCACTGGCCAACATTCGTTGTCCTCAATAGGACATAGCTAAGTAACTAGGGAGGAACGATAAAGTCCCCACTCCCTGTTAACACACAGAAGGAAAGATAGTGTACACTGTTCCCTTTTGGACCAGCCCTATGGAGCTTTCTGAAAGCCCTAAAGACTGGACTGTAGAGTGATTTTTCCTCTTTCTCTGGCCCAATTAACATTTAATTATTCAATTATATAATTTCAGTGGAACAACTTCACTAAGAGCTCCTCATCAGGATATTCCCTTGCTCAGTGGTTAGGGCACTCACCTAAGAAGTGGCAAATCCCTGTTCAAATCCCTTCTCTTCATCAGGCAGAGGTGACTTGAACCAGGGGTCTCCCACATCCCATGTGCATACCCTAACCACTGGGCTAATGGTTATAAGAGAGGTTCTCCTCCTCCACGTCCCCTCTCCCATTGTTTTGTGTGGAGTTAGGTGGTCTCTGAGCACACCTAATGGATTGGGCCCTTCATGTTAGTTAGGTGGAGTAGTGCCTATCTTCCCCTGCTTTGTGGATCACTAGCAGAGCCAAGTGCCTCCCTGCAACCTGGGGTTAGGCACCTATCTCTGTGAGGGGGCGGGTCTTAATACCCATCCATTTTATCAGCATCTCCTATTGGCTAGATTAGGTGACTTTGTGGGTTGTTTTCTAAGCTGCCTATCTCTCCCCATTCATTGAATAGGAGCCGAGGTACCTAACTCAGTTTTGTGGGTTGCAGTGCTGTTCCTGTGATTTTTCTAGGCACCTAACAGTTAGGTGTTGTGATGCTCAATGTCACAGTTCCTAAGTCCCTTTGTGGATCTGGGCCTAGAAGCCTGCATAGGGATGCAGAGCTATTCTCTTGGCTGGCCTAGGCAACTGGATCAGGTGGGTCCTGTTAGCTCCAACCCATGACATAAAAAAAGTTGAGCCTCTGTATGAGGCACAGGCAGCAGCAGCAGCAAATCCAGAAACAGCCAAGCTCAAGTGCATGTCCTGATAGAAGGTTTATTTAAAGAGATACCATTTCCTTATAAATCATATTTCTCCCTGTTCCTCCCTCCACCCCCTATTATTATTACAGGGAACACCTAAGAATGCTATAACTGAACATGCTTAGGGAGGGGAATTTTTTACACATTTTTCCATTTGCTTGCTTTATGCAACTGATTTTTCGTATATCAGCTTTACTATTTCTCCTGTACAGTCACTATCCCCTGCTGTCTGTATGACTTTCCCCCTCCACAACAGGGGAGAGAAACATTTTTTGAAACAGGATACTTTGATTCTAACCAAACTAATTGGCAGAGGGACTCATGGGCAGGGGTAGCACCTAAAACTACTTTTACCTAGTTTTTAAATTGACTAATATTTCAAGCTGGTGGTGTCCCCTTAGGTTAACAGTAAAGGAAACCCCAGGAAAGGGTAGTTTGGATGCCATCCAGTTGTTTGTGTGCTGGATTAAGAACAGGGCACTTCCTTACAGGGCCAATCCTACTGTTCTCATTCAGGCAAAAATACAAGGATTGGGCTCAAAGTCTGTGCTCCTTCAAGCTGATCCATGAAGACAGGTCCCTGCACCTATATGGAGTCCCATTGACCTCAGTGGGGCTGAGCAGCTATAAGAGGCTGCCCATATAGACTCTACTGAAATCAGTGGGGCTCTGCTGGTCTGAGTGGAACAGCACTCAGCATCTGAGCCAAAGATCGTAATGTTGGCAGCACATCTCTATTTAATTCCAGAGATACCTTGTCTGTTGAGAACCCCCTCCCACCATACAGTCAGTAGGTACCAGTGAGTGAATCTTTCTGTTAATCCTTTTGAAGACGCTTGCTCATTCTTGTATTCTAGCACCTGTTTTCTGCAGCGCATCCTCAATAGGTTGTCAGGGTTTGCCAAATAAAGAAGGCTGCATATTTTATAGAATAAAAACAGGAAGGAGTGAGGTTCTCATGAAGGTCACTCACACCATCATTCCCCTACACAAACACATTCAAGACAGAATGCTCAATCATAGTGTCATGCATAAGGAATGAAAAGAAGACTAGGTGTAAGTAGAACAGAACCGAACAAAGCCTCAAAGATGAACAGTGTATCACAGTGTTTTAAAGGAAGGAGTAGTTGAAGAATTGTTGTTTGTATATCCACTCTAGTCGGCTGCAGCAGGAAGAGAACAAACATACTACCAGAGTCGACACTTCGGAGACAAATTCAGTGAAGACTGGCAGCATGCTCCTGTTAAACAAGGTGAGTTAAACTTTAAAGTAATTATACTTCTCAAAGGATATGTCTGCACTGTTGCTGCAGGGTTGGTTTTGTTTTTGTTTTGTTTTTTTGTTGAGAGTCTCAGCCTGGGTCAACTGACTCAGGATCATGGGGCTTACCCTAAGGGGCTAAAAATGACAGTGTAGACGTTCCTGCCTGGGCTGGAGCCCGGGCTCTGAAACCTGGCAAGTGGGGAGGATTTCAGAGCCTGGACTCCATCCTGAGCAGGAACCATCTATACTGCTATCTTTGATCTTGCAGTGTAAGCCCTGTGAGCCCAAGTCAGTTGAGCCAGGCTCTGAAACACTGCCGTGTTTTGTTTTTTAGTGTAGACATTATATAGGCCCCAATCATAGAGTTGGATTTGATTGGGTGGATTGGGGCCATACAGTGAAAGTCTGATGCATGGAAATCTTGCAGCAAGACACTATAGTTAATTGATAGTTTATTTTCTTCCTTAAAGTGAGTTTTAGCATCAGTGTTTGTGAAAGGTATTGGATAAACAGCTCTGGGAACTGAAATCCAATATATATGTGTGTGTTTCAGAATATATATTGGATTGTGTGTGTGTTTCAGAATATATATTGGATTTCAGTTCCCAGAGCTGTTTATTTAATCACATTTGAAAACTTAGGCTTTTTTATATATGTATATATAAAAGCCTAAGTTTTCAAATATGATTAGTGATTTTGGATGCCCAGCTTGACACACCTTTAAGGGGCCTGATTTTCAGGAGGTGGGTGCTCAGCACTTTCTGAAAATCTGACCTCTTGAAGGTGTCTCCAGGTGGGTCCTACAAATCAAATCAGGCAACCAAAATCAGTAGTTACTTCTGACAATGTAGGTCTGTGTGTGTGAGTTATACCCAGGGTACATTCTGCACTGATGTATAGCTGTGACACCCAGGCTTTCTAACCTTTACACTGCTTTGCTGTTGCCTCCACTCCTGGACTGCTCACAGCCAACCTCCACCCTAAACCTCACTTTGCGGCCAGCATTTATAATGGTGATAAATATATTTAAAAGTGTTTTTAATTGGCGGGGGGGGGGGGGGTTTGCACTCAGATGCTAGCTATGTGAAAGGGGTCACCAGTACAAAAGTTTGAGAACCGCTGCTCTAGCATGTAAGTCACTCCGAGCTATGTCTGTGTGCACTTGCAACCTGCTGGTCACACTCAGGCTTTCACTAACCTGATTTACACTGGAAGGTGACCTCAGCACACTTCCAGTCCCGGACTTTTCCCCAGAACTGTACATCTTCTACTGCCCACTCCTCTCCTGGACAATACAAGCTAATATAAAGTCTGCCATTTTATTAATAGAAATGATATACACATATATAGTTATCTCAAATGGAGTTTCCCAAACACTTCAATTCAAACACACTGGTCTAGATAAAACAATAAAACAAGTTTATTAACTACAAAGAGATAGAGGAAGAGATTTTAAGTGAATACAAGTAATGAGGCATAAAATAGTTACAAGAGAAATAAAGATAAAACGCAACTAGTGCCTAACTTAACAAACTATGTTACATTCAAAGCAAAGTTTCTGTCACCACGTGCTCTCAATAGTCTTGCTGGGCAAATTTCTAGACCAGGGCCCCCGTCTTCTGTGTAACGGCTGCTTCCTTTGTCCTTCTGGTGCAGTCAATCGATGGACAGAGAGTAAGAGGAGGAGGAGGGGTGTCATTTTTATAGTCACTCCCCATCTTAGAAATGTTTCCAGCTGAGATTCAGGAGACAAAAAGTCTAAGGGTATTATATCTCCTGCTGGTTTTCCCACCCCTTGGAACTCCCTTTGTTTTCTGCTTAAATGCAAATTAAGCAGAGCACACATTCTTTTGTTTGAGACAGACCTGTTTGCCATTTTCTGTTTGGACAGGGCTGTGGTTTGGAACATGTGTTAATAACACTGTACAGTGGAATTTTATATACAATGTTGTCAGGACAATTATTGACCAGTAAATTATGAGTTTTTAAAGGATACCTTACAAGGCATACTTTGTACAAAGATTATTACAGCAATGGTCAAAGGGTGAATACAGGGGTACAGGCCATCACAGTGTCAGTGCATGCACGTATGTGCATCTATGAGCTGAGTTGAGCAAATTATTTGTAAAAAATAATTGATTTCTAAAATTTTCCTGTTTTGCTTTTTGTGAACGTCATGAGCAAATCATAATATTCTGAAATATATTCATTATTCAGAATTTTTTTGCATGTCTTCATGAAATTTCCCCCTCATTTGGCTAGTTTGCAGTATTGTTTCAGCTATTTGATATTTAAATTTCAAAACTGATGCTGTGTTGTTTGGTTACCTAAATCAGATTAGCTTACTTCAGTTCTCTGATCGCATGACATAGGTAACTAACCAACGCTGCCCCAGTTTTGAATATTCCAATCAAATCAGCCAGTAGTCAGGCTTAAAATTCACTTTCCTCCTGTATTTGTGCTAGTAAACAATAGGCAGAAAGTGAAGACAAAAGGACCATGAATGCAGTCAAATCAAAATCAGTTTTGAATTTGAATGACTATTTGAGAATGATTTTTCCACTGTGCCAAGCTCTAATAGACAGGCAGGCATGTTGTTTGTCTTTTCATCTCTCTTTCCAGAGACTGTTGAGTTTGCACTTTGGTTAGTGACACCTCCTATGTTTATTCTAAACAATACTGCTTTATCCTTCCTAATGCTATGTTAAAGAGAATTTTTGAATTTTCCAGGGTCCTTGGACATTTACAGCGTGCCAGAAGGGAAGCCTCAGGTAACCCCAACAGGAGAGGTGCCAGCTTATGTGAACACCCAACATATAAACATGGAAGCTCTACTTGCACTTCAGGCAGATGCTGAAAGTGCATTCAGTGGAACAAAAGAGTGTACCAAAGACAGCAGTCCAAGAAAAGATCTGTTTGATATGAGTGAGTTCCCTTTTAACTCTCACCTCTAATGACAGATCCTACATACTTAGTCTTTTATTTTGGACCAACAGAATTGCCAGTTATTCATTCCTAAAATGGTTTGAATTAATGAAGGTGATCCATATCTTTCTGAGTTTGAAATTATGAATGCTTATAGTTTTGAAGCTAAATCAGGGTAAAAGGTGTTAACCTGTATCTACACTAGGAAGAAGGTTGGAATTTGGTAACATGTGTTAGCTCACACTGATCTAACCTAGACTTCTTTTCCTAATTTAGGATGTAGACTCATGAGTTTATCATAGTATGTAATTAAACATCAGGGATCTTTGTTAAATTAATACTCTGTTTTGAAAAGAGAGCAGATATCTGTGTAATATATGTGACTATGCAGATTATGCAGTTTATTTAAAATGAAGTCCTCCTAACTTCAGGGGGAGGGATAGCTCAGTGGTTTGACCATTGACCTGCTGAACCCAGGGTTGTAAATTCAATCCCTGAAGGGGCCATTTAGGGATCTGGGGCAAAAATCTGTCTGGGGATTAGTCCTGCTCTGAGCAGGGGGTTGGACTAGATGACCTCCTGAGGTCCCTTCCAACCCTGATATTCTATGATTCTAACTGGCTAGACAATAAGAGAGCCCTGATCCTGTCCAGAACATACAAATATGTGACCCTTAGCAATTAGTCAAAATTGTCTCTGATTTTTAATATATTTGTTTACAAACAATATTCTCTTTGTTCTTAATATATTATATAAACTAGTGGGACTAGTAATACACCATACTGTGTTTGTTCTTCTTAAGGATAAATGGAAGTGGCTACTACAAGAAAATAAACCAGGGTTAAAATGACCAGAATTGTATTTTTTTGTAATGCAGTTTACCTGTGAGTGATCTTGCACTTGTTTCTGTGCCTGTAACCAGAACCTTTTGAAGATGCTCTCAAGAACCAGGCCACTGGGCCTGCGCTGAATAAGGCTCCCTCGGTTGAGTGTACCAGTCCTCCATTACCCAGAGCAGCTAACTGCACTATAATGAACGAGCTGAATACAGAGCCTTGGTATCAAGGAGAGATGAGTAGGAAAGAGGCAGAACAGCTGTTAAAGAAATGTGGAGACTTCCTGGTCAGGAAAAGCACCACAAATCCAGGCTCCTATGTGCTGACTGGTATGCACAATAGACAAGCCAAACATCTTCTTTTAGTGGATCCGGAAGGAACTGTAAGTGTTGACTCCTGAATGAGAGTAAAAAAGAGTCCGACTCTATATATTTTCTGTAAGCCAGAAAATGAAACCTATTTATAACAATTATTTGTTATTACAGGCATTTGTAAGGTTCCCATCACCTAACCTTAAATCTCAACTCACGACGCTTAGCTGAAGAACTGCTGCAGCATTTCTACATGGCGAGGTAGCTCTGAGGCCACTTCCTCTAGTCTAGTCCTCAGTGCAATACAGGGGCAGTCAAAGGTATTAAGTTACTTTTGTGGCCCCCAGATCCCAGGGCTGTCTGGGGAGCAGTCTGGTCCCTCGCATTAGTTAGAACTGCCTTTGCACTGCTCTTATTTCCACCCAGCTGCCTGAGGCCCCAATGAGTTGTTCTGATAAGAGTGATCTCCAGAGCATAGGGGCGTGACTTCCTTCTCTGGGAATAGGCTCTCACTCAGGCCTGGGAGAGAAATGGCATATTCTGTCTCTTTGCTACCTGAGGATTCCCTTAGCTGGTTAAATTGGCTTTCTAGCAGCAGAGCAATATAAAGTAGCCAGAGCTGGGCATGAAAACTGGTCCTTGGTATTTTTGTAGCTGCCCATCACTGAAAAAGTAAGCAGATGACACAAAAATAGGGGGAGTGGAAAATAATGAAGAGGACAGGTCACTGATTCAGAGATATCTGGATCACTTGGTAAACTGGATGCAGGGCCAGCTCCAGGCACCAGCCCTCCAAGCATGTGCTTGGGGCGGCGCTCACCCGGGGAGAGCGGGGCCGCAGCCGGGCTCGCCGCCCTCCCCAGGCGCTCCGGCCGGCCGGGGAGAGCGGGGCCGCGGCCGGGCTCTCCACCCTCCTCCCGGCGCTC